AGCATCAACATCAACATGAAGTCGAGAATTTCCGACGACTTGGATGTCGTCGACTGTGGGGATGTTCGTGAGTCTTCGAGTATCCGTTTCTCTTAGTTTTCGCCTCTCACTCGTGAGTGCCTGCAGCCATGGTATATACCGACAACAAGGTGGCACTGCGCCAGCTCGAAGCTGCCAACAAGCTAGTTCTCAATCACACCAGTTCGCATTCTCACGAAGGGAAGAGCATCGCGAAGGATGGCAAGTTCCACCCTCGCGTGCTGACTCTGGTAGGTACCGAACATGCCAAAGGTACCCACGAGGGGTCTGAACAGAACCGACAGGGTGGTGATCATACTATCACTTGGCCTCTCCTCCGTGGGGTCCATGACATTTACGGACCCGTCAGGTGAGATCGAGCGCAGGTACGTGCCGCTGCCCTGCTCACCGTCAAGTTTTGCAGTGTTATACATTTTGATAGCCACCTTGGTGTGTTTTCCATCCGATGTACATCGCAGTATCATTGTATCACTAATGAGCTAGGTAGACACGAAGAAACCTAGCTTGATGGTGAGAATCGTTTCCCGCGCACTCCACAGCGTGGCTGACCATAATGTTAGCCCAACGGCCCCTGGGAGCCCGGAGAGGTGAGTCCAGGTTCCCTTTGTATATTGGCCATTCTCACAGCATCTGCAGGAAATTCCCGTCTCTCACGGCAGCTACTTCTACTATGCTCACAAGGAGGGGTTGCTTGCGCCTGATAACAAGAATATTGTGAGCTCCTTGCTGTCCAGGCTTAGCGTGATGAGTAACACTTGTCTACAGCACGTGGGTATCCGGTCCCCTATGGGTAGCTGGAAAGACTACGAGAACGACTACGAGGTCGGCTTCGTGATCTCGCATGCTGACGAGATGGAAGAGATTGGCTGGCGCGGCGTCGTGAAGAAGATTAGGGAGACCGTTGGTGATAACCCAGTCTATAGTGCGCCAAACGACCTCAGGATAAAGTTGGTTGCCGTGATTGACGGTTTCGTTGTAGTCACGTTTGACATTGATGCGGTTGACCCTGGATCTGCACCTGCGTATGTCCTCTGTAGTTCCATGACAACTCATCTCACAATTTGTTCTTAGGACCGGAACGTGAGTCGAGATTCACAAGGGTCGGCAAAGCCACTGACTTTACTGATCCTTATGTGCGCCTACCAGCCAGGAGATTGGGGGCATCACGACACGAGTAAGCCCGAGGAAGCGCTTATGCTGATGTCTCGACTTAACTACCCTTCTGTGGTCCCGTAGGAGATCAAGAAGATCATGCAGGGCTTGACCGGCCTCAAGATAGTCGGCGCGGATATCGTTGAAGTAGCACCTGGTACGTCGTTCAACCCTATATAACCGCGGCCATTAGCTGATTCACGCATTGGATTGAAGGTTACGACACTCAAGGTGAGTATGCATCGACGCTTTGGAAGGGTCCCGTTCTCACACCATCCTCCCAACGTAGCTGAACTTACGCAAATCGCCGCTGCCAACATCGGCTGGGACATTCTGGCTTTGATGGCAAAGACTCCTCTTGTGAAGTAGATGTTATCTCGGTTCAATCTTGTTGTGTTGTAAATAAAGGGTTTGTCAGTCGTCACTGGCGTCTCCGTAGTCGGATAATCGTCGGAACCCACTGCGCTGTCTACACAACCTACATCGCTATTCGGGCAGAACTCGAATCATGAGGCCAGGTCCTAAGGTACATCCTGCCTTGGGACAGTTCGACAGGCGGGAGTATACTGTTCCGTGAGCTCGATTATGAGAGGTACATATAAGATGGCGTCACCAGCAGCTCACTCCGAATCCTTGCTGAACTATGGCCGTACCGAACTTCAAACTGAACACAGGCGCACTCATCCCCGCCATCGGTAGGTCATTCCGCTCCTTCTGGTAGGGTCGGTGGAACGAGAGATGCGAATGATCGTCCATCGTAGGTCTGGGCGGATGGAGCGGCACGACGGCGGAGCAGCACGCGAAGGCAACGACGTGGATGCTAACTGGGTTGAAGGTGCAAATCATTCGTGGATCTTCACCGATTCAGATGCTTACCGATCCTCGTTTAGACTGGGTACCGCCACGTTGACACTGCGTGGGGATACGGTCAGTCAAAGCCTCCGAGGGTCGTTCGGATCGCGTTCATGTGGACGCTCAACGGTTGTTCTAGGGACGGAGAAGGCTCTTGCGGAGGCTATCAAGCTGTCGGGGATACCCCGTGAAGAAATCTGGATCACGACGAAACTTCCGTACGTACCATTGGGCTACTGCCACTATCCAGTGTAGACAGTTGGCTCATTCGAATGGTAGATGGAACCATCCAGGCTTGAAGACAGCTGCGGAGTCCTTGGACAGCAGTCTGAAGAACTTGGACACTAGCTACGTCGATCTTGTGTGTTGAGACCAGACATGAGCGCCGAATAATCGAGCTGATTGCACGGCAGTATCTGCTTCATTGGCCGCAAGTCGTCGATTGGCCGGGTAAGCTTGATCTACTCCACCTCCATCAGGTGTTGACATCCTAAACAGACGAGGGACCTGAATATCAAGGGCCGGTCAAGCGTCGCGAAAACGCACCGACGTTCAATGAAACATGGGCGCAGATGGAGGAGCTCTACAAGAATGGGAAGGCGAAGAACATCGGGGTCAGCAACTTCTCTGTCAAGAAGTGAGCCAGCAGAAGCCACTCAGTGAAAACGTACTCACTGTTCTGACAGTCTAGAGAAGCTCCTACAGACTGTGAAGGTAACGCCAGCTGTAAACCAGGTCGAGTGAGCGATGTTTGTATAGCCTCTGACTGGTCATTAATATTATTGCGGCGCAGGCTGCATCCGTACCTTGCACAGCCCGAACTCAAGGAATATTGCGACGCAAAGGGTATACTTATAACCGCCTACACCCCGACAGGTAAGTGGATGTTTGCTGAAGCCTTCCGCTCAATATTCACCTTGATCAAACCGCAGGATACGATACCGTCCGGTCTGACCCAACGATCATTGACTTGGCCGAGAAACACAAAGTGTCGCCAGCCCAGATCATCCTCGCGTGGCATGTCGCTCGTGGGATTGTTGTTGTGCCGAGGAGCTCGAACGCCGGCAGACAGAAGGATAACTTCAATGTAAGCACAGTCGTTCGCGGGCTGGATGATCGTCGAAATCTGACTGCCAGAGGGCCCTTCGTGTAGTTGCCGACCCTGGCTCCTGAGGATTTCCAACGTGTCAGTGCACTGGACCGTAAACAGCGCATTTGCAACAAGCCTGATGAAGACGGCATGGTGAGCGGTTGGACTGCAGAAGAAATGGGTTGGTGAGCGCGTGCCTATGACAAGAAGAAAGGTTTCAACCATGTACTGTATATTTCGCAAGGCCGACGAGGAAGTAGTACTGTGTAATTTCGGGAGATCATCAGTTCGAATGATGACTGGGAAATGGGCATGGACCCATGGATTCAGGGCGTAAGTAACTCAGTTGTGTGTCACGGTGCTGCTGGCCCTGCTCGCCCAGATGCACGTGACTGGTCCAAGCGACTGGGAGTGGAACTCCGGGAGCCAGTCCCACGGACCGATGTGTCCGTGCCTTAGCGCTCACTATTACTGCCTGCCCGTGGCAGGTCGTCTGCTGCCTTTATGTAGGTTCCTAGCTTCTCCGAGAGTCGAGACGACCAACGTCCCCGTCTCCTGGAGCGTCCAAGGCGAAGGCTCTTCAGATCCTACACTGTCGCGGAACACAAGACGCTCATGCTACCCAACGACTCGGCGTTGCGTGTGAGCCCCATGGCACCGGCACTGACCATTTGCAAGCCATACCAGGGTCGCCCTTAGCCCAATACCCTTGCCCTAGTCACATCGAAGTCGCGCTCGAGAGCCAATCATCTAGTCTCGAATGCTCCGAGAGCGAATTCTGCCTCCTGTAGGTCGCATGTTTCCTGTGCCCTCCGCTATCGCAATGAGGACGGATCAGCAGGTTCGACTTATAAGCTCTTGAGCAGCTGCTCTTGCACTGCATCCCTCATAACACACCCTCGTACGCTCACACAAACCCTCATGGTGCTACTCGGATATCCAAGCAATCGTTCTCATGTGGAGGCATCGAAGGACACTATGTCCCTCTCTCGCCTCGACCGCCTTCTGCTTGCCAGAATTGCTGACCAAGCGGAACGATACCATGGTGAGGAGCACGGCCTATAGGGGTATTGTAGTATCTCATGCTTGAGGCAGACGTTATTGGGCAAATAAAGGACATAGTCAACACGTCCGATGCTCAACTCACGGTGGACGAGCGTAACCTGCTGTCTGTCGCCTATAAGAACATCACGGCGACCCTCCGCACTAGCTGGCGCAACATCGACACCCTGGAGACGCAGACGCGACACTCCCCTAAGGAGCGTAGACTGATGCAACGGCAGAAAGAGCGCATCGAGCACGACATCGTCGATGTCTGCAAGGACGTAGTCGAGCTGCTGGAGCGCTTCCTCATACCTGCGGCGAACCCAGGGGAGGAAAAGGTTTTCTATTGCAAGATGTGAGTTCGCATGCTTGCCGCCGTGCGTTTCATTCACAAGATACGCCCCCAGGCGAGGTGATTACTACCGGTACCTCGCGGAGATGACACACAACCACTATCGGGAACAGTACGCGTCTACCTCTCTCGACGCGTACAAGTTTGCATACAAGCACGCGCTTCATACGCTTGACCCAGCTCACCCTACAAGGCTCGGTCTGGCCCTCAATTTCGCCGTCTACTATCATGACATATGCCAAAGTGCTGAAAGGGCATGTTTCTTGGCGAAGCATGCGTTCGACGAGGCTATCGTAGTAGCATCCGACCCATCTTTTCCCACTCAGAATGTGGAGGATGCCCTCATGATCCTACAGTTACTCAAGGACGATCTGATTTTGTGGTCGGGGGAGTTGAGAGATGAGGGGGGTTCATGAATTACGACCCATCGTATGACAGCTTCTTAAAACGTAATATATGTACAATAATCACGGCCGCCTGGCGAAATGGCATCGCGTCTGACTACGATATGGTAATCAGGAGATTGTAGGTTCGACCCCTACGGCGGTCATCATGCGCACCTTTTTGTGTTAATATTTTTGGCTATTCTGGTCTGTGGCGTGCAACGACCAACACAGTCCTTTAGGGCGTGAGCAGCCCGGCAGCCAACTTTTTTGCGTCTCTATCAGACGTTAGCTCGTCAAAAACTCATGCTATGCATTTGTGCTATCTACGGTTGCTCTAGGTTATAGTATGGTATTCTTGCGATGACACAATGAATGCTTGTACCGTCGTTTGTCTGATATTCACTACCCTTGCGTACGCGGTGCGATATCCTGAGCAAAAGTAGCTGCCACCAAAAGAGGGAAAACGAGAGTCGCATCGGCGAACACCTTCGACGAGCTTGCTCAGCGCACACCCCAGCTCGGGACCATATAGACGCGCACCTTCACGGACTCGGATCCTGCACGAATCTTTCCCCACGAGACAGCTTCATCAGGCCGAGCACCCGAATCTGAGCCATCGAACTCCTGTCCGGTGTTCTGCAGATGCTTTAGTACCAATGGCAAGAAATGCGCCAAGCATGCAAGATCAACTCGCCATGTACACCGAGAAGTCTGCGCCGTTGCGCTATGGTATCGTGTCAGACGAGCTCGATACGAAGGGTCCGAGAACTCACGATTAGCATAGCATTGGCTATCTGGTGCTTGCATACGCCACCGCCGAGAATGATCATGCCCGCTTTCTTCGATTTGCGGGATAGCTCATTGAGAGCGCGGATGTCGCGCACGATGTCGACGATCAAGCCTGGGTTCTTGAACGAGTGAAAGTACATCATATCCCCCAATGACCCATCCGTCAGCGCAGGGCAGAATACTGGGATGTCGTTCTACGTGGCAAGCCTCAGCGTTCACAAGAGACAACCTAGTAATTTGCTCGCTGTATTCACTTTGTATGCCCAGTAATACACAGACTCCTCGTTATTTATCTCTTTCCCCAGTCTCCGGATGAAGGAACTAGGCGACCAAACTTCTCCAGTCTCCTTCTGCTCGGCAAGCATCTGGTCCAGTATAGGCATGAGCCAGTCCTCGAACTTGCAGTAGTTGTCATTCGGCACGATGAGGTTCCCGATGCGGTTCATCCCACGTCGTCTGAGGTCGGCACCATCAAGGTTAAAGTCAGCCAGGTACGTCTTTCCCAGGCATTTGATGAAGTCCTCTTCGATGCCTCCAGCAGTCGTTACAATTGCCCGGACATGCTTGTGTTTCACGAGATGCAGGATCACCTCGCGCAGGCCGGACGAGATGAGGTTCGAGGTGTAGCCCAAAAACACGTCGCACTTTGTATTCTCCCTCACTTCCTGAGAACGGTACTCGTCGGACTCATCCTCCGTGAGAGGTTCATCGGACAGTCGCCATTTGCGCTGTAGACAAGGTTCAGCTCGTGCGCCGAGAGTACACTGATAGCCGACTTACCATTTTGTTGACAATCTCGATTGCCTTCGCGAGACTGCTTGCTTGGAAGCCGATGCGTTTGTAGCTGTCGAGCAGCTGGGCGAGGGTGACATCCTGGTCGAAGTTCGGGCCTTCCACAGACACCGCGGCTTCCGGCACAGGCTCAGAAGGCTTGAGAACAGCGGCCGATGCACCCACCGGGATTGTCGTTTTATCCGCCGACATAGTGCTAGTGGAGGGAGAACGGGGCGCAGGGGTGAAGGAGTGGAAAGGCGGTCTGCAGCAAGGAAGGAGGGAGGTCAAAAACTGACAGAGGAATCAGAGTGGCGATCGAGATGGGCCAGAGGCGCCTGGCACAGCGCGCGCGCTTGGGTGCACGGGAACCGATGATTGTATACCGACCGCCGCTGCTCTCACTCCCGGCCACCGAGTAACTGCGCAGAATCCCTCCTTCGTCTGCTACAGCCCGTCGCCCGTCGACGCAGACCATGGACGCTGCGGATTTCCACAGTGTAGCGCTAACCCCTCCGCCTATCTCACCACCTCTAGACAATGCTGACACGCCGAACTACCTAGCACAGGTCGACGCGTCAACGACTCAACCAGTTGCTGAACCATCAGTGACTCCTGTGGAGGAGCTAGCTACGACCCTGTCCAATGCTGATACGACGGAGCAGTACAACCTGCAGCCTGCAGACAGTGCAGAGGAACCACGCGAACGAGTACACGCGGAGGCAACGCCTGCAGAGCAAGCCCCTACGTCACAAATTGTCGTCGATCATGTTCCCGAGATTACCCAGGACGAGGAAAAGCCCGAGGAGGATGTCCAGGAAGTGGACGCGCAAGCTGCAGAGAGTGCACCTCAACCCCCCTCGCCCCGCCCGCCTACGCCCCCGGCCAAGGTTGTCGAAGCAGCCCCCCCACCACCGCGGCGAGACAGCATGCCTGCACCACTCCCACTCAATGGTAGCGCCGCCGTCGCAGCGCATAACACTGGACTGAGGCATGGCAACCATGTCTCAGGTCGGCAGACTCCGCCTAGTAGACCGTCGTCCGCTGCGTCGCATCGGCGTTCGCTCACAGTCTCGAGAGGCAAAAGCGTCTCCAGCGTTCTGATAACTTCTGCGCTGGAGACTATATCTGCTTCCAAGGAGGCGAAGCGGTCAGCGCCGCTGCGGGAGAGCGTCCACCGCGCTCTAGAGCTAGCCAAGTCGGGGCAAGGAGGAGACCGTCCTCGCGAGATCTTCGAACCTTTGCGTCTGGCATGCGAGACGCGGAACGAGAAGTTGATGGTTGCCAGTCTTGACTGTATCTCCAAGCTCATTTCCTACTCGTTCTTCGTGGAGAACACCGACTCACAACCACTCCCCTCCCCTCCTCCGTCACCCGCTGCAAATGGCAGACACTCTATCTCCACTGGGTCAAATGTCAACCTCCCGGCCATCTCTCTTGTAGATGTTGTTGTCCACACCATAACCTCCTGTCATTCCGAAACGACTCCGGACCCCGTGTCACTGCAGATAGTGAAGGCGCTCCTCGCCCTCGTCTTGTCCTCTACGATTCTGGTACACGGGTCTTCCCTTCTCAAAGCCGTCCGGACTGTCTACAATGTGTTCCTGCTCAGTTCCGACCCTGTCAACCAGACAGTTGCTCAGGGAGGCCTCACGCAAATGGTGAACCACGTCTTCAGCCGCGTAAACCTCGAGCCTTCTTGGTCCCGCAGCGAGTCTACGACCACTCTCAACTCTAGGCCCGATGTACCGCGAAAGCGGCGTTCGTCCATCCAGTCTTCGCGGAACTCGATGCAAGGGCCCCCCCAAAGCCCGCCCGCGACTGTCAGGGTGTCTTCGCTTGCTGGCACGGACTACACGAGCTCCACGCTTGTGAACGGGGATTTACAGAACGGGGAATCATCTCAAGAGGACTATGGAGATGCGAGCTCACAACATGCTGCGTCTGATCATCAGGACGACCACACGAACGGCTATGCACAAGCACATTCGTACTCAGCACCGTAAGCTGCCCTTTTTTTTTTATAGCATACATGCGTGCATTCTGATTTCCTTTGGCAGGGAGCCGTCGGAGATCGCTCCGAGTGAAGCAGGCGACGAGTACGACAACAGTCGCCGACTGTCTGCGAACGACCTGTTCATCAAGGACGCTTTCCTCGTATTTCGGGCGTTGTGCAAGCTTACTATGAAACCGTTGAACTCGGAGAGGTAAGAGAAAAGGCTATCATTCTGTCTGTAGCCCCCCAATGCTCATGCGCAAGCAGTGAGCGCGATCTCAAGTCACACGCTATGCGTTCAAAACTGTTGTCTCTGCATCTCGTCTTGACGATCCTCAACACCCACATGGCTATCTTCGTCTCCCCGTCTGCAATCATTTACTCGAGCTCGTCACGCGAAGCCACATCGTTTGTCCAGGCAGTGAACCAATATTTGTGTCTCTGTCTCAGCCGCAACGCGGTGAGCCCGGTGCCTCAGGTATTCGAGATCAGCGTAGAGATCTTCTGGCGAGTGATCTCTGGTCTCCGCACGAAGCTCAAGGTCAGTGTGCTCGTGTTTCTCTTCACGTTCACATGAAAGCTCACAGCTTATTTAGAAAGAGATCGAGGTGCTGCTTCACGAGATCTTCATCCCCATCCTGGAGATGAAAACGTCTACCTTAAGGCAAAAGGTGGTGATTCTCAACATGATCTACCGACTGTGCCAAGATCCCCAAGTACTTGTTGAGATCTACCTCAACTACGATTGCGACAGCGAAGCGGTGGACAACATCTACGAGCAGTAAGTCTTCTTTTCGCAACACCGTTCGATCGTTCATGACATCCACAGCTTGATGAACATCATCTCCAAGATCGGAACGGCGCCTGTGTCGCACAACCAGAAGAAAGGAGAGGACCCTGTCAGCCCCGCCCAGGCTTCAACGCAGAAGGCTCCGAATCAAACGGCGGTGCCCCCTTCTCTGAGCACCACCGCGTTGGCTGGTCCAGGGCATAATGACGCTTCCGCGGCTGGTCTCACAGAACAACAGCTCAAGCGGCAGGGCCTCGAGTGCCTTGTCGCCGTGCTGAAGTCCCTCGTAGTATGGGGAACAGCCGGGTCCGAGAACGGCAAACCGGATCAGGTGCCACCACCGGAGCCCAGCGCTCGCTCTGCGGTGCCCGACGAGATGAAAGGCGACAAAGTCACTCCCGAGTCGTCCTCTCTTGATTTAAGGCCTGGACCTCCGAGCGCGGACCCGACTCGTCAACCCACCCCCGAAGCAGTCGATGATCCGACTAAGTTTGAGAGCGCGAAGCAGAAGAAGACGACACTGCTAGAAGGCATCAAGAAGTTCAACTTCAAGCCGAAACGGGTATGTCCTCACAACGAAACAATCTTCGCCTTGTTGATGCCGGGTGCTTGTTTAGGGCATCCAATTTTTCCTTGAGACTGGCTTTCTTCCTAGCAAGTCGCCGAAGGACATTGCGAAGTTCTTGCTCGAGACCGATGGACTGAGCAAAGCCATGATTGGCGAGTACCTGGGAGAAGGGTATGTTTGACGTCGTTATGTCTGCATCTCGGCGATTAACAATGCCCACAGCGAGGAGGAGAACATTGCTATCATGCAC